CATTTTCCTCTTTTTTTTCAAATTTTTCGCGGAAAAAAGGAAACTTGCGTTTGAAAGGGACAAAAAGTTTGCCTGCTAAGAGCGTACGCTGTGCATTTCAGAAGTATGCACAAAAAGGCAGTTCGTGAAAACTCCGCCACATGCCGCTTACTGAATTTGCATTGTCGTCAGCGTTTCAACAGTACACATACTCACATACGTACATAGTCACATATATACGTATATTCTCACATACATTTGTACACCCTTTTTTTTGCTGCGCCTTTTAAGACATGCGTGTGGGAGGCGCTGGTACTGTAGTGGAAAGGGGCGGATACAAAATGCATACGCACCGTTACTACGCTCATACATATTCGTAGAGAGAGTGAGGCATGAGGCAATTGGTGCCCCCCGCACGTGCGCATCCTTGGCTGTAATTATTTTCCTGGCCTGCATGGGAACGCCTGTTCAATTTCGCATGTTTTTTTTTTTTTTTTTTCCTGTTTTGTGTAAATGTGTATACAGGGGTAAATTATTTTATTTTGTTTTATTTTTTTTTTTTTGCTCCATTGTTGTATCAGCATACCGAATGGTACCGTGCCCATGTGACGATTTTGCTTTACGCGTATTTTTGCGCCACTGCGCGGGTATGCCCCTGTGGGCGGCTGGCATAAAAAACAAAACAAAACAAAACAAAACAAAACAATAGGAAGAAGAACGGGGGGTTCCTTGGCAGGTATACACGTACAGCTACTCAAACGTACGGATAGGCACATGTAAAGATATGCACCCGTACAGGTACACACCGAGAGGTGGACATTATATTTCTCCCCCCCCCACGTGCGTCGTATAAAATGCCAAACTTGTTCAAAATAAAAAAGTCGAAAGAAGAAAACGTGTCGCAGCCCAAGCTAGTGACAAAAGCCATTATCTCATCAGACTTCATTAAAAGGCTACCAAAATATGAAGACAAAAGGACCATCATTTATTACTGGGGGAAGAGAGTGATCAACGAAAACGACGACACCCCAGAGCACTTACCAACGATATACACCGACCTGTGTAATGTGAAAATTAAAGAAATTAGTTGCAACAAATCATGTGCGCTATTTTTGAGCAACACAGGAAATATGTATTCCTTTGGAAAAGGGCTACATGGAGAGTTGGGACAAGGAAATTTAATCGTGTATAGTATCCAACCAACCCTAATCGAGTCAGTCACTCAAATTAAGCAAATAGCATGTGGGTATAATCACTCTCTCTGTTTGTCTAATGATAATATTCTTTACACATGGGGTCATGGAAATTATAATGGCTTAAAATGTAACATGGACAAGTACGAACCAACCATTTTGAATATAATTGATTATGGGGATGTGATTGAAACTACTTTGAATGCTCTGTCCCATTTAATCACAGACTACGAAAGGTGTGAAAAGAAAAAAAAAATTTGTACCCAAATTTATGCAAAATATAATCAAAGTATAGCTGTATGTGATGCTAATACTTCCATGTACATATGGGGAGAAACGTACAATAATTATTTGAAATATGTTCCTACCTTTTTTTACAAATTTGAGTGTAATAAAATTAAGCAAATAGCCATGGGCAAAAATTTTGGTATTTTGCTTCTTCATAATGGAGAGTTGTATGGATGGGGAGATGGCACATATGGAGAACTATGTAGAAGATCGTTTGATGATGAAGGTGGCTGCTATTTTATATACCCTGAACCCCTTATCCTACGGGATGCTAATAATAAAAAATTGCCTAATATACATAAAGTCAGTGCAGGAGCTAGACACGTGTTGCTCATAACAGAAGATGAACATGTGTGGTCCTTTGGTGATAAAATTTCAGGGCAGTGTGGAATTTCGGGCTTCCAAAATATTGTCACTACGCCTAAATTTGTCGAGTTACATGAAAATAATCAAAAGGCCAAAAAAGTTTTCTGTGGGGAAAGACATTCGGCTTGTATTAACAAATTTAATCAACTCTACATGTGGGGCCATTCTGCCCACCATAAATTAATCTTTACGGCTAGCTCAGATTTTCTATTAAACCAAAATGTCCAGCCAGGCATTTCCATTCAATCGGGACTCAAGCAAAAGTTTAACAAAGCCACCTTAATTTATTCTATGCTGCACCAGAAGGTTACCAATGCTTATTTGGGGGATGAATTCACCATTGTAGTTGTTGGAGGAGAGACGTGCGATCATAACAAGCAGGGTGACCAGTACTCTGATAAGACATTTTACTCTGTACAGGAGGAGAGCGCCTACGTGTCGACGTAGCCCCCACACACAGAGGGGGTAGGGAGGGGGGAGCCTACTAGTGGTTAAAATGTAACTCCAGAACCAGCATCCGTTTTGAAGAAGCACATGCGTCTTTTTAAAAGCGGAGCGTAATTTGCATTTATATTTGTTCGCTAACATGTTTTATTTTTTTTAGAGAGAGGGGGATTACAGGTTCTTATCTGCGGGATGGGCGCCGGTCGAATGGGGATATGCATCTTTCCCCACGATGTGTGGCCTTTCCTCATTTTTTTGGTGTTGTCACCACGTGAATCCCCCCCCGAGATATACACCTAGCAGCTTTAAATAATATCCCCCTTTAAAGCACACGCGCTGCCCTACTCGGTTTGTACGTTAGCGTCCCTCCTCCGTACCATTCCACACCAAGCGCTTCCCGCGTGTAAACGCGTGGTGGGCTAATTAGCTAATCTGTTTCACTCCACATGGCCTTTTTTTTTTTTAATTCTTATATTTATTTGTCCACGTTGCGCGTTTTTTGTGATTAATTTATTTTTTACATTTGAAAGGAGCGTAACGCGGGCGTTTGTTTTTGTTTATCGTGCTCATGTTTAATGGCGCGTTTATATGTAGCGTCTGTTTTTGACGTATTTTCTATGACATTTTTGTGAGGTTTTTTTTTTCAAACGGGTGAACACTAATTTCGTTTGTAGCAATAACCACATTTAACGAAGCACACGTAAAAAAAGAATACATAAATAAAAAAAATAATACTTGCCCATTTTTCGCTAGCACACATTTTTACAAACACCGTGTCTGCAATTTTCCACGCATAGGAGGTTGTCCCGTTTAGCAAAGTGGCAATTACAGCATGCGCAAAATGTAATTAGTGGGCGGGAGGGAAGATATGGCTCGTTAAATGATCGATTAGGATTGATCTATGAAGGCGTATAAACGTCTGTGAGCAGGGGATACTCCCCCATTTGCACAACCCTAAACGATCGTCTCGTAATTCTGCACCTGTCTCTTAAAATGTATTATCGAGAACAAGGTCAAAATGGTTTCAATATAAGTTTCGAGGAACGAAAAGGAGTTTATAATTATACAATTCAATAACAGCCATTTTGCGGCGGACGTATGGCACCTTTGCTTCATATGGACAACGGTAGAGTCTATAATTTGCTCCGACGTAATAAGAGAAAAATAAAATGTGCATGCGTTTGTAGCAACCTTAATGATACATAACGTTATGGTCAAACAGGTGGATACGATAATTTCATCTTCGCTCACAATGTCTTCTCCCTTTATTAGCATAAAAAAAAAGTCGATAATAAAACTCGAAACTGAAAAGTGCAAAAAAAAAAATTACTACATATCACCAGCGTATACTTGCAAATGTGCATACGCCCCTTCGTCCGGCGCGCAGACAAAAAAAAAAAAAAAATTACCCAAATTTGCCGCGGTTAAAAAAAGGACAGAAAATGTTTCAAAGCATTCTTGGCGCAAAATGATGGAAAAAAAATACGAAAAGGTGAACACATATAACAAGAATATGTCTATGTAGAAAAAAATGAACCAAATATAGCGAAGAGGTGTTTTGTACAGCGGAGTGGGCCCGCTGATTTTTCTTCGAAATAGCGATCCTCGAATTTTCTCATTCAACCCTGTAACTTTGCTTATGCGTATACACATTATCTTCGTCCCCGTTGTTCTTCTTAAGCGGACTATGTTCGGTTGGTACGGCCTTTCCTGATGTGGCTTACAATATCAACATCACCACTCCCCTTCAGAGCGCCCCCAGGGTGTGGTGTTTTAAAAAAAAAATGTGGCAAAAATGATTCGTAGAAATGGATAAAGACACGCCCGCATTACATTTCGCGTAATTGCCGGTACAAGGAAAATGCTACATATGTTATCTGCTTCAAAAAAAAAAAAAACAAAAAAGGTGACGCAGTTTTTCAGTCTTTGCAGAGCAATGATGGAGGCATAATTAAAACTTAAAAAAAAGTCGTAAACAAATAGTAAAGAAAAAGATGTAAAAATGATAAAAAAAAAGTGGAAATATTTATAAATGAATAAACACATAAATACCTTGTGTGCAGAAAAATAACACATTGTGTGCAAATGAAGTGACGCGGGGGATGACGTCCAAATTTGCCTTCTCCAAATGAGGATGTCATGGAGCTGGCTTCCATAAAAAAAAAAAAAAAAAATCATTGCTCAAATGTGTGCACACTGGGTGATATAAACTCATAAACAAAAAGTTAAAACAACATGTCGCGCACATTTAAATGTGCTTATATGTTCAAATGAAGAATTATTATCAGGAGGGGAAGGTGGGAATTAATTATGAATGTGCATTTCTTCATGTGGAGTATCCACAACTAACAAAATGCAAAGTGGATATAAAAAAAAATACCACAATTTGTGCTTTACGCATTAATTATTTGTTTTACAATATGAAAAGGACTTGTCCAGACGCATTTAAATGCGAGTACAGGAAGCATGAGTTTCCATCACGAAAGGTAAAAAAAGTTGTTACGTTTTTGGTCTGCCAAATAATCCTTATTAGGGAAATTCTGATAAGATGGCTTTCTTCCGCAAAAAAAAAGTCACAACTGCTTTGTTCCTCTTTTTTTGCATCGTGGATATGTTGCCCATGTTGCCCAAATGTGGTACCCCCCACGGACTCATTTCTTTTTGCTCGCGCTCACTGCTAACCCCTCCTACGCTGTTACAAACATTTGTTAATTGTGGGTATGTGGCCCCTCAGTCGGAGTCCATGCCGTAGAAGCCCTTGGCGTCATAGGCGTCAAAATTGTCCTCATAGCATCCTTCATTCTCCATGTAGCACAACTCGTCGTACTTGGTTTTGCAGAATATCTCCCAGGGAGTGGCGTGGGGAAACTCCGTCTCGATCTGCAACTCCTTATACACATCCCTGCTCTCCCAAGCTAGTAACTTGGACAAGCTAACCAAGCAACCGAAAAATCTAGCAGCATATTTCTTATTCCTTTTAAAATCGGAGAGGGTAAAATTTCCTTCATTCTTTGGCTGAATAGCATCATTCATCTGACATAACCAGTCTTCAAATTTAGGTTCCTCTAAATAATGCGACTTTAATCTCTCCATTTGAATATTAAAAAAGACCTGAATTTCATGATCCCTAATGACACAATCTGCGTCCAAGTCAATTAGCTTAAACCAAAATTCAATGGCCCGGTTAGATGTCATGTCTTCATAATTCATAATAAAATATATCCAATCGTTCAAACACATATATTTTTCATTTGGTCCTCCTAACTTAATGGAAACCCTAGACCAAATTCTATTTACAATAAAATCGTTCAGAGAATGATTATCGAACCTATACAGATCATTATCATCAATGAGCATATCTTTGCAACTGCTCGTTTGGCAAAAGGTACAATAGTACACATAGAAATGAGAATAACTGAAGTAGTTTTTCACGTGCTGCACTTTTATATTATCATCTAAGCAGCACCAAATATGAGCTAAGTTATGTCTCCTCAAATCTTTCAAGTATATTTTATTCGTGTCGTTTACATCTATATGATAATATATTCTCACGATGACCGATTCTATGTACCTTTCGAGAAATTCTACATGTTCATGTAGAAATTGTAAAGACGTATTTCTTTTTAGAATTTCTCTTATGAACACATCAAAATCTTTAAACGAAATGTAGTCCCTGTTCGGATCCTTTATAGCATTGAAGAAATTTACAATGGAACATTTTTTGTATGGGACATCTGCAATTTCTCCCTTTTGGCTACATCCTCCGTCATCCCCTTCAACAGCATGCTCATCGCAGTGTAAAGGGGTTGTATCATTTTGCAAATGAGAAATGTCCTCCACATCACCATTCGATGGAGTAACTACATGCAGGGCACTCTTTACACTTCCTTGTCTTGTCCGTTCAAATAAACTCCTATACCTACTATCGTTGTAGTAACTTGGATCCTTCGTCCCATCAACAAAACGATTACGGAAGTACTTCCTTACCTCTTCACATGTTACAAAATCTTCATTCACTTTGTCAATACGAGAATACAAAGTGTGACTCATATATCTTCCAATTTTAAGAAAGTCTACTACTATTAATTCCTCGAATAAATTTAAATTCATTTTATTTTTATATTGGCTGAATATTTTTTTTAATTTTTTATCTGTCTCCTCGTTCATCTTTTTATTAATGGTTACTGTCATTTGGGGTATCACCACAATGGGCACCTCCGTATTCTGTTTATCCCACAATGTGTTGTCGCATGGTGGGTTATATGTGGGGCCAGCTTTGCTTTGTTTATCCTCATGCAGAGGATCTTCTAGCAGTTTATTCTTCTTTGGGAGGAGACTTTCCTCTGTTGATATTTTGCTCATAGTAGGAGCCGCTATTCTTTGCTGTTTTTCATGCCCCCGGTTGGTTGCCACGTGCATGTTCACTGCTTGGTTGAATTGTTCTTCCCCCTGAAGTGCTTCCTCACTCAAGGAAGTTCCATCCTGGGGGATCCCCCCTTTCGCTGTTCCATCGCGATCATAACCATCCTCTGCCTTCCAATGTGCGCCATCATCCTTATGTGTAGTTTGCCTCAACGTAATCATCATATCGTCCTTCTCACTACACTGCATGGGGGCAGCGGACACTTCATATATCGATTTCATTACATCCTTCCTTTGGGGGCTAAAAATTGCATGCTCGAAATTTTCTCTGTCCCTGTGTTGTTGCATCCTGTCCCTAATTTCGTGGTACTCCTCCTTGTCCACTCCACTGAAATGATTCGTAGCTACTTTGTCTTCTTCCCTACCATCATGCCTCTTTCTTATTATCATGTCCTCACCATTGTGGTAGTGTTTCGAATTTTCATCCGTGAGCACATCGGTATAATCATTCCCGTCGCTGCTAACATTGAGATTACTTCCGACCCCACAGATTCCCCTTTGTGGAGTCCCACTTGGGGTATGCCTTGATTCAGCTCGATTTGTGTTCTCCCCCAAATGAGGGTCATCTGTCAGTGTAGGAGTATTATACCCCACCTGCCTGTCAACACTTCCTTTGCCCTGTTCGCTTTGAGACATCCTCCTCATTAGGATGTCATTTATGCCAACTCTGCTTGTTCCATGTGTTCCTAACCCCACAGCGGTGGTCGTGTACCCCTCCTTCTGGTCATTTTTATGCTCGTCATCGTTGTTATGTTCCTCATCGGATTCGTCTCTCTCTCTGCTGCAGGGAGTTCGTGGGTACACGAGGTCCAAATCATCACAAGTACTACTTATCCCACATTGGTCAGAAAAGTCATTCCGCTTTGCAAAGTCAGTAGGATGACCAAAATTTCTCTCCACCTCGTAATAATTTTTTGAACTAACACCTTCGCTGTTCTTTTTTACGTGTTCAAATGGGGGGATATCCGAGTGGAACAAATTCCCCATGTTGTTTTTCGCTAAGTGTAACTGATAGTCCAACCAGTTATCAACATCGTGTGGACTTTCTTTTAATTTCATTTTAAAATTTTGTATAAACAGCCACACATCTTCGTCCATTAAAAACTGTCTCATTAATTCCCCCTTTAAAAATAAATGGGGAAACAAATTTAAATTTTTCATTTCTGATTTTTCTGACCCCGGGGGTGTACAAGTGTTTGCGTGGACATTCGCTGTCTCAGTCTTCATCTTGACGTTTGCTATGAATTCGGCCTGTTTCATTTTGTCTGTCGGTTGTCCCTTTCCGTGTCGCCCCTCCGTTGCTGTATGCTACGTCTGGTTATTCCTGCGGGGTCCTGTCTCTCCCTCGCGTCCACTCTACTAGTCTGAATTTTGACTTTGCCCCCCAAATGAGTCCTGTTGCGTGTGGACCGATTAATCGCCCAATCGAGTAGGACAAATCAATGGGGTGGAAGTTCACACGTTGGTACGTTCATACTTAGGGATACATTTATTCACTTCGCCTTTGAACTGTAGATAAGTGTATATATATAAATAGCTATGGATTTTTTTGTTTTTTTTTTTCCTATCCAAGGTGACAAGCGCAATTCTGTTTTAAGCCTTTTCGCGTATAGGTTTAATGCTACGGTTACAACGGAGAAAAAGGACTTTTTCGGGTACTTGCCCTCTTGCATATCTCTCGCCTGGCACACGGAGCAACAGCGAAGATGCAAAAAAAAGTGTGGTGGTGGTACATTCTGACGGACGCCTCTCACTTCCACACCTTCATTAAGAATGTAAAAAGTCCTCTTCAACTTCCAAACTAGGTCTTCATAAAAGAAGAAAAAATAAATACACAAGGATGTAGTTCCTTTAACAGTTTTACCAGTTCGTCTTTTCGCGCACACTTTTGCCCTTTCCCCTTGGTCTTCCCCCCGCAATGGCAAAGAAGCAAATTTCTCTGACTCAAAACGGATTAAAAAAGAAAAGCCCTCCCTCATAGGAGTAACAAGGAGTAACTAAAAGGTGAAACAAATTGGGTGCTAACGTAGGGTGTTACGTATTTCCTGCTTGTTTGGTCATACGGGATATTTCAAATTATGTGCGCGTGCATACAAGGAGCATGTTCCCCAATTGCATGCATAAGGACATGTAGGGGAAGCACGCCACGCGGGGCCATAATAAAAAGAGCACAGGAAAAACAAGAAAAGAAGAATGCTTACCTGGACTTAAACAATCTACATGCATACGCCAGCACTACTTAGTCGCGTTCCCAATTTTTCACATCCCCTGGGAGAGCAATCACGCGACGATTTCGTCACTGCCAAAAAAAAAAAACAAAATTGTAAAAGCAGAAAATCCACCTTCTAAAAAAAAATTAAAACAAGTACACAATTTTGACACGGTAAATTTCCACAGTAAAATTGGAAAATTAAAAATTATCCTTCTGGGAAATGCAAATTAAGACTTTTTTGTGTGTTTTTTTTTCCAGCCGCTACACAAAATGTGTGCTCGCACATGGAGTAAAATGTGTCCACGTTTGTTTCACAATTTTAAACTGCGCATGCTGCGTGTACCCCTTGGTTTGCCTTAAACGGGACCTGGTGAGGGCTAAACGGGAAAAGGCAGCAAAAGGGCAATATGACGGGACGTCACTCCACACCTTCAATCCCTCCTTCCCAATAACATATCATTTGCACTATTCAAAGGTGTAGTCTTCCATATGCTTGAGGTCCAAATGCTTGTAGCCACGTACACACCGCGGGCGAAAAAAGGAGGGACTCAAAAACACGAGGGAGTTCCTATGGACAAGAACTCGTAACGAATTGTGCTATGTTACTGTAGATGGTGGCACAATCAGTGACCAGGGAAAAAAAAAAAAAAAAAAAAAAAAAAAAAAAGCATTCATAAAAAGGTGAAGACGAAAATAACATATGCCACATTATCAGGAAGTACAAAAGGGGCCACAATAAGGTACACCTTTACATAACAAACTGCGCTTCAGAATTGGAAAAAATTAAAAGATTAACATTTGGTTATTCTCCTCGAAAAAAAGCGCACATGTCATATGTACACACAAATGATGTGTGCCTTTTTTTTTTTTTTTATCACCATGTGTTGCTGTTCATTTCTTTTCTTTGTACAGTATACCTAATTTTCTTTAAAGAGGAAAATTTTTTATTAATTTTTAAACAAATTTATCAGAGGGGAAAAAAAAAAAACAAAAAATAGCCTTATTAAAAAGGCGTTGTAATATGTGTACACAAAAAATTATGGCTTAAAAATGCAATAGCAATCAAATTATCATATTTGAATTAAAAAAAAAAAAAAGAAAAAGAACAGAATATTAACAACGTGGTTAATTTAATACTATTGGTACATAAACATGTTATATTTTATACTAAACCGTATTGTGTGTACGATTTTTTACATGTCCAGATTACGAATTTTCGAGGAGGGTATTTAGCGCCAGGGTTGCATTCCAATCGGCGTTTATTAAGGCATTCTGCAAGGGAAAAATAAGGACAAAAAAAAAAAAAAAAAAGGGGGAGGGGAATCCACAGTGAGGGAAAGAGTACGAGTGAAACTTTCTCCACAACATGTATATATTCTTTTATGGAGCTACAGAAGGTAAGTATTTTGCATAATCTCTTTTGTGTATGATCATGCTGCACATTTGGTAGAAACACGCAGTATGCATGCACGTGTGTGTGTATTCTTAAGCACCTTCGCCTGGTCCTCCGTAAATCCCATTTCGGTGATCTTCTTAATCTGAACGGGGGGGAGAAAAAAAAAACAAAATGAAATATCTTATATTTATCTCACTCAAGGTACTAAAAGATCAGCGCTCAAAATGGCATCTCCCGTTTTGCTGTTGCATATTACAATGACTTCTCTTGGCTCCAGTTTCGGTGCGGTGGCAAAAGTCTTGGTCCACACACTGAACGGGGGAAACAACAACAAAAAAAATTCGTAATAAAACACCACTCGTTGGGGAGGAAATATTAATACGAGAGATACAGCCTGGAGATGCATTGTGCCTGCCCAAAGGGGGTTATGAAAATGGGCTGTGTGTGCTTATTTGATGTGTTCAAAACCTGGCTGTTTTTAAAAACAGGGAATAGTTCTCTTTGTACATTTTTGCTACTTCTGCGTCTTGAGGGTCGTCTACAGAAAAATATATACATATACATTTCGCTGCTTTTGAATGTTCAAAATTAGGGACTACTGTATGTGGACAGGTGCTTACATATTTATGCCCACAGAATAAATGTGCAAACTGCTCACCTGGTTGTGGATCTGACAACAGCGCCTGAATAGACAACAGTGCAGTTCTAATCGTCAACGCGGGACTCCATTCGTTTTTTAAAACGTCCAGGCAGATTGCCCCTGTTTGGCTTGAAATGTTGGGGTGCCATATTTTCGTATTGAATTTTATCTGCATGGGAGGGATGAAGAGAATGGAAACGAACATGTAGTAGGAAGGAACAAAATAACAGGGTACACATACACATGAACCTGCATAGGTCACCTTATAGAGCTGTTCTACCCCCACGTAATAGTAATACCGCTACGAAGGCCATGTACGTGTGCTCACCTTGGGTGGGTTATACGGGTAATCATTTGGTATAGTTATGTCTAGGATAAAATGGCCGTCTTCATAGGGAGTTCCCGCTGGGCCCTTGATAAAACCAACCCACTCCGAAATATTGGAGTCCTTCACGTGGGCATCTATCTCTTGCACATTTTCATTTTCAATGTCTTTTAATTCCTAATAAGGGGGTTACGTAAAGGGGAGAAATGAGACGAACTTCTCAAGTGTTATTATCATTTGTTCGATATTTGTTTTTTTTTTTTTTTTTTTTTTTTTTTTGTGCCTTCCCCTAACGCACAAGAATGTTCACGTTAATTTGTGGAAGGACAGCACCACACACGTATACTCTCCCAAGGGCGTACTGAAATAAATAGT